TAACTATATATATATATATATATATATATATATATATATATATATATATATATATGTATATATGTATATATAGATAATTGTATAGCGATTAAATAAATATCTTGAAATTTTCATGCCATTTGTCTCTTAATGGAATCGCCATGTGAGACGACGTATCGTATTTGCTATGTTAAAATGTATGTAAAATTGATTCGATATATCTCTTGAGTTGGTATATTTTTTTTGTGTGATATATTGCGATTTTTTTTCATTATATACTTTCGATCGCGATGTTTGGATACTATTTTTTGTCGTTGACGTTTTTTCCTCGCTTCTTTTGTCTTACGCAATGATTACAGCCTGATATTCATGTTTCTTTTTTTCTACATCTTATCATCCTTAATCAAAAAAAGGTTGATAAGGCATAACACACATGTGTGAAATTTGTCCGAACTAGATTAAAAATATTCTATCTAATTGTATAGAAAGCTTTTGTACATATACATACATGAACCTACACATTCGTTCTTTCTGTCTTCTTTTTTTAATATCGCATGTGATTCATATCGAATCTGCAATTTAGGGTTGAAAATGTATGTATTTACAAATCATAAAAATAAAACACAACGTATAATTTTCAGTAATATAAGAAAACTTTTTGAAAACTAATTTTAACAGTATTATTCATAATCGAAGTTAATTATTTTTGTAAGATTTAAACATTATATTTACTTTTCAATAGAGCATTATCACAAATTAAAAACTTTCGAATTTAATATTTATGTTTCGCGAAGAATTAGGGAAAAAAGTTTTTTATTCTATCATTTTAAGCTTTGTATGTGCAAATGTGAAGATCATTACGAAGTAAATAAACAAATTTTAAATTTGTTTATTTTGCCTATTCACACATATAGGTATCACGAAAAGAAAAGAAAAATATATTAATTTCTTTTATATCTTATATTTATACAAAGAAATAAGAAATCAGAATTATGCACACAATAAGCATGATATAATAATAATGATAATAATAATAATAATAATAATAATAATAATAATAATAATAAAATAATTACATTAATAATTATATATAATACGTATTATACCTATATTTACATTTAATCAGATAAAATGTTCTCTTGTCTTTCTTGTCTCTTTAGATTGGGCAAATTTCGCACTGTGGAACGATGAACTGCAGTAAGAAAATAAATATTCGTTCATTAATGCGTTGCTAATTATTGACTTTCAAATGAATATCGCTGTCTTGTGATTTACAAGTTTCGATTTGAATTAAGATATAAGGATATAGACTCAATGTTGTGATTTCTCCAGCTTCACTTCTCTTTCTTTCTCTTTCCTTTCATATGCGCACACGCGTGTGTGTATGTGTGTGTCATGTTCTCACGGTACATTTGCATAGCACATAATATATTTGTCTTGGTATATACTAGAACTCGGATTTGAATATATTGTATGTTTAATCTATTTGAATAGTTTGAAACTAAAAAAAACGAGCATTGAATTCAAATAGTTCGAACAGTTCGAACTTGAGCAATGATCGATCTGTCATCGTAATGTCATGTAATTTATTCCGTTTTTCCAACTATTAATGTATGTATATCTATATATCCAATATCGAGTCTGTCTCTTTATATCTATAATTTGAACATTAATTAATCACACAGTCACAATAATGAAAGAAAGAAATTAACATAACATGATACATAGCATAGTAGAATAAAAAGTAAATTTTTAATATTATTAATATGCAACTCTATCAAATTAAGAGGAGCAGTTGTATCTTTCAATCATTCTACTTTTGATACATACGATGCCAGTCGCAAAAGTAATAAGATTGATCCTTTCAAACGCTACTTTCAAATAACATGCTTGCCTAAAAAAATATTTTCTCATCTCAAAGATATTTTCATTATCTTAAAGATATTTTCAAGATGTTCTTTTAAGATATTATAACGTCTTTAAGATCGTAGAGCGCAATGTTCTTTGGGGCATATATCAACATCAGAAATTTGATACTTAGACATAAACATTTTTAAATATTTTTCAAAAATTACAATTAAATTTATTGAATATACAATAACTTTTCTTTGAAATTATAATATTTACTGTTTACATTGGCATTAATAACTTTTTTTTAGATATTTAATCGTTAAATTTACACGAATTAATTTAAAAAAAAAAATCATTTTAACTTTAAATGATCCATAAGATTTGTTACCGTACACATTGGAAATTCAAGATTAAGAATTAAAGATTGGATTTCGATCAATTTCAATTTAATCTTAATCCGCCCGTTCTAATTGTTTAACAATTTGATTTTTGTTTCACAATTCTTAATTCCTAATATGCAGAATTGAATAGTAATTAGTTAAAAGTTAACTAATAAAGAACACTATTAACATGTAAGTTAATATGCGTTAACGCTTTCTCTAAAACTGTTTATTATTTTATCCTTGTTAGTTAATAATGTTTATGTAGAACAGAAATTATATCTACAATGAAAATGTTATTTTTATTTCACATCATTGAAATCATCATTGAAATAAAAACGAGGATTAAGGACAAATATGTTAAGAATAAGAAATCCATCAAGTTGAATAGTCTCGCGTTTGTAACATTTGAATAATAAAAGGTAATAAGTTTAAGAGATTTACGAGATTGAATTTAAGAGACTGTGATTTCGATGGCTAACATTGTCATGTTTAAAAAGATCATTCTCATCTTTTGTGACAGATACATACAACATACGTTAAATTTTTCCTTATGCAAGGGTTAAATAAATTCGCTAGTTTCTCAGTTACATATGTACAATTGCGATGCGGAACGAGACTAATCGTAGTCCAGCTACTCTTAAAAGCAACAATACAATTCTTTGTCTATTAGTGCTTAATCGCAAGAATAGAAAGACGATTGTGAACGAGATAACTTGAGGTTGCATTCGGTATATTCGCCGATATATTGCAATTTCGGATTCATCCGATCTCCGTAATTTTTTAAGTCTTGTGATACATACTTGATAAATGTATAGTTATTCGTTTATCTTTGCTTCATTAGAAATTAAAAAGACACAAGATGTAAACGATACAATTGATTGAAATATACTTTTAGTTTTTTGCGATAGTATATTACATATGATATAAAACAAAAATTTATGATCAGATATAATCGCACTTAATGCCAAATAGATTCGATGAAGATTCTGGCATTAAATCTTTAGCGAATCTTTTTGAAATAAAGGTGCATATCGCATACTATTCACAGTTTATAATTAACAAGACAAACTTATCGGTTCATTGTAATTTCAATATTTCATAAAATTATTGTGATATAGCTGTTATTAAACAATGTTAAAGATTCATGATATTAACTCAGAAAATCAGATTGTAATATAAATTCTTTTTCAAAGAACAAATTAGAAAGAACATTATTCAGACTAGATCTTAGAAGTCTAGTAATCTTTTTATTATTGAATTTATCTATAAATTCAAAACAATTGCTTTATATTGCAAATTACGCGCTGTTATTTTTAACAGACTTGAAAACGCGGCAATTTAAAGCTAAAGTCTTAATAAATTGATGATCAAATTTATAAAATTCGATTATCCTCTTTCCCTCCTTCCTCTCGAAAATTTCTTATTGCGAAAAATATCATCCTAGATATAAATATCAATAATAAAAGAATTATTAGACTTCTAAGATCTAGTCCATGGAATAACGCTCTTTTTGATTTATTCTTTAAAACTTGGCTCATTTGGCTTATTGCATTAATCGTTTTATTAACTATAAAAATATCTGCATAAATAAATAAAACATAGAGATTAAAAAATTTATTTTACTTTGCTTTTAATTTTGTGAACAGGAAGTTATAAAAAGGAGTTACTTCTCTCTTTCTAGAATCGAGCATTTAGCCATGCCATTGTGTAAAAATGTATGCCTTTGACACGATATATGCATTTTGCGATTGCGCGAATATAATGAGTCATATAAATAAAATCGAATACACCCTCTTTCTTTTTGTTCCTTCCCCTTCTCCTTCTTCGAATTAAAACAAACTACCGAATTCGGTTGGTACACAAGTTTTATCAAAGTGTATAAGAATTGGCAGCAGAGACAACAATTGCAATTGTTAAATAGCAGTTGAATGTGATTGGATTTATTAAACTTAACTTCACAAATATTGCAAGGCATCAACCAATAGAATGTGACTATTGGTTTGACTATTATCTTATCTAGCGCAAATTCCACTGCAAGATATGATAAAGTTGAACATTTTTATTATGTAAACATAGTTCAACAAACTCCGTAGAAAATAATTTAATTCTTATAATCCTTTTTACACTTTTTAATTTTAATTTTTAATTAAAAAGATTTTATTATGTTAAAATATTAAAAAATTGGAATTTTATTGTAAAAAGATTATATTTTTAACTTATAATTATAATATATAATTAAAATAATAAGTTTTATCATTTTAATTTTCATTGGATTTGATAGTTTAAGAAAATATTTATATCATAAATTATAAAAAAAAGTCTGAAATTAAAAAAATTTTGGGATTTCCAATATTTTCTTTGTCATTTTAAATATATGAGTTTCATATTCAATTTGTGCTTGTATTAGAAAGCGATTTAAAGAAATTAATATAAAACTTTAAATTTATTAAAAAATAATTTAAAAATTTTCAGTACATTGATCCTTAGTAGTTAAAGTTTCTATTCCATTTCTTAATAATATCTAGTAAATATCTTAATCTGTCTTGTTAAGTTAACCACCATTTGTTAACTACCATTTTGAGAATTAAAAGTTTTAACAATATATTTAGTTTTTAATGGAATAGAACTTTTCCAATATATTGTCACATATTACAATATAACAAAATATATTAAAACGGCCTTTTTACAACTTAAATCTCAAATCTCTTTACAAAATTATTATAAATATGATAAAGTATTTTGCAGAACAAAATAATTTAGTTATCATAACAAAATCACTGCTACTATTGCATGTTCGATATATGAGTAAACTAAATTTTATTATAATATTTAATTATTTAATGTTACAATAATATTTGGCTAGCAAAATAGAAAAAATTTTATTCTGTTTATTTGTGGAAACATCTTAATTTGTTATTAATATAAATAATCTATTTGCAGCAAATACATTTTATTATTACACTAAAATTATTGTTGAGAATGTCAGTGTAAATTAAATTAATGAAAATGAATAAATTTATTATTGGAAATAATAGATTTGCAAATCTAACAAATTATTTTAACAAATAAAATTAATTTTATTAATAAAGCTTTCTAGTTACTTATTATTTTTTATAATTATTTATTGAAATCATGAAATTTGTTATAAATATTAGCTAAATATTTGTTCTATCAATAAATTTTTTTTCTCTGTGCAAAATTGTACTCAGCATAAAAAGAATTAAAAGGAAAAATTATTCTTTTTGAAGTTGAAAAAGAGAGTTATTATTTATCGAAGTGTTTAGTGAGCCGATTATACTCTATATATATATATATATATATATATATATATACGCTTTTTATATTGTTTTTGTGTGAGACCGCCTTCAGTGCATCAGTGTGCTAGTGTTTTCCATGCAATTTGCTGAAGATAAGAATATTTGCATTATTTTCATCTATGACGCAATATGTAATAATTGATAGGTCGATTTGCATACACCACTGCTTTTTCGTAGTCTCGTTACCAACTGGTCAGGAATCTTAATGTCTACATTTATATTTCATAAAGCAAATCTTGCAAACTATCATCCCGTAATCGTATGTCATTATGTTCCATGTTAACAATTCATAAATCCATGTAATTGTTCACTAACAACTAATTATTCATTTCCAAAAAAATCTTATTATAAATAATTTTTATAATTTATTTAAAAAATTTTTAGTACTTTATTTTTCTAAACATTAAATTATTAATTAATTACTTAATAGTTATATTAATTTAAAAACGTTTATATATATGTATATATAAAACATACATATATATGAGAATAAAAAAGAACAAAAGATAGACTAATGGAAACATTTTATATTATAATTATGATTTTTGATGACTTAAAATATAACTTGTGCTTTAAATTTTTAAAATTTATCGATAAATTATTTTTTTATGCTTAATATCTCACATAATTATCATCATTCAAACTTGCAATGTCCTGTTTTTACTGCATTTTTTAAATGCATTGTATTTTAATTTCAAATTTAATTATATATTTTTACTTTGTTATATTACTTAAATATTTTTCATTTTTAAAAATATAAAAGTCGAAGAATTTAGAATCGTTATGAATGATACTTATGCAGTTATAGCGTTTCACAAATAAAAATTAATTTTGATATGCCCAAACAGAGAAACAGTGTTAAAATTCTAGTTTTTTTTGATATTATTGATATTATCTTATTAATATTTGAATTATCATTTATATAATTTATAAATAAGAATTTTGAATGTTTATATATTTAGTACATTTAATGTCTTTTCATAATGACCACGATTACGGATAGAACTGTTTCTTTTAAAGCCTAATATACATCGAGTATTAGGTTTATAAAACAGATGTCCTATTTTGTAGGATTTCAAGGATTGAATCGGCTTCAGTGGAGAAGGATATAGGAGTCTAGGGAAATTGGAGAATTGGGAATTCGGACTGACGCACAGAGTCAAAGACCGGTTACTCCCGCAATTTATGCCAATCGGCTATCTGTCGTCGCGGTGAACTGCATACCTCTTTCCAATGATTCACAGCGGAGCCTTGACATTTTGGTCCACCAAACTCTAGTCGGCCAATTACCTAAATGCATCATATTTTATTATAATTCTTCTATCAGATTATTATTAGAAATTAAATAAAAGCAGTTTGTCTTGACAATGATAAATATTTTTTATAAAAAATAATAAATGTAAATAGTTTTATATAAGTAGTATAGTTTTATATAAATACTCCTATTTTTTTATTTAATTATATTTTTATTCAGTAAATTTAAAGAAAGAAGAATTTATTAAAGAAAAATTCTATTAAAATAACGTCTATTCGAAATAATTAAGTATAGTATATTATTTGCCATTTTTGTTTTTTCTTTAATCTGTCAATTTATTTTTAAATTATACATTTTAAACTAATTGTTTAAAAATAAAAAATAATTTGTTTGAAGAAATCAATTAAAAGTTTTCTATCGTGAAAAGCATATTTGTTGTAATTTTAGAAAATTCACAAAGATGATTTAATGGAGAAGTTGATTTGCATTAAATGTATATCAACTCGAAGAATGATAAAGTAAATCGCGTTTTAAATGATAAATGTATAAAATTTACCTCGTTTTTCGTGACTCGATCCCAATCCAGTAACATAAACTCAAGGCTGACATTATTGAGTCCATCCGCACCATTTGGTATATCAAAGACAAAGGACTCGTTAAATACCGGACTGAGCGTGCGTTTCTTTACGTGCGTCTTCTTCTTAGCGATACGTTGCTGATTGTAAAGAAGATAGATTTTCACATACGGGTCAGCGAGCCCAGTTACATCCATCTTGGGTAGATTTCGTGCTTTCAATACTACCACTGTCAGTCGGCTGGTAACAGGTTGCCAGCAAAGAGAAACCAGAAGTTCTCCTCTTCCTTGTGATTGTATCTGAAAAAATAAAAAATATAGATGGATTCGCAGTTTAGGATTTATTATACATATAATGTCTATCTACATAAGATCTATTACTGTCTTAAAAAAATTATTTTTCTTGAATGCCAATGAATTGACGCTATGAGCGCAACAATATGATGTATCAGAACGTATATAAAATATCTACCTTTAAACTCCTGGGATATATTTTTCGACATAAAGATATTTCCTGATTGTCCGCATCTTCTAAACCGGGCACTGATGATAGAGCACATGTTAGTTCTCCAATGATATCGTCACGTGAGTATCTATCGAAACTCAGCACAATAAAGTGTAAGCTAATTTTCTGAAATTACAATAGTTAGATAGATCACTCCTTTTTTAAAAAAAGATTTATCACACATTTAATTAAAAAAAGTTTGTAAAATTTCGATTCGAACAATTAAATACAGATAATCTACCTGAAGTTGACTTTGTGATATGCCAAAAAATGTGAAATCTTCATCGTACACTGGGTCCCTGGTATTTCTAAGAACTCTAGTTTTCACGTGGTGCTGTTTGTCAGGCAATAATTGTAATTTCACATAAGGATCACTGGTAGCGTTCTGCTGACCTCTGGCTGGTAGCCCTTTGCATTTTACCACAGTGACTGCGAGCGCGTTCTGTTCGCTTCGATATCGCAGTTTAAAAACTAGTTGACCTAAATTATCCTTGTCGTTCTCAGCTGTTTGACTCTTTTCGCGTTCAACCTTTTCGTTATTTTCTAGTTCAGCCTTGTCACGCTCGTTTTCTATACTTACAGCAACCTCGACAGGTGGTGTCTGTACCGGTGTACCTGCAATTATTATAAGTGTAAACATCAAACGTAATTATTTCTAAGAAATGATAGGTTTTTCCAAAAGAAAAGATAAATAGAAAGTTTAAAGAGATAGTATTTAAGATCCAAAGGATATTCGTAGAATATCCAAAGAAAAGGAGAGAGAGAGATTGTCAATAAAATTATATAAAAAGTTGTAATATCCATGTATAATTGTATAAATATATATTATATAATTATGAAAAAAAAGAGAAAATATGATTATCACCGAACAAACTAAAGTGTATATAAAGTGTATCTGATAATTTTTTTATTAATTTTTTATTCGTTCTTACATATGCCTGCCAACATGACAAATTTATTCAATCTCTTTAAAACAAATTTTAATTATGGTATGATATATAGGTAATATTCGGCAAGACTAGATTTTCGATGTTTAATATAATTTCTTTTTTATTTTTGAATTTAAATACAAGATGTTTTATAATTAGTAAACAGATACTTTAGATTATGCTGAATAAAATCCTTTATAATTTGCTATTTTCTCAATAATTAATGAAATATAAATTTATATTTCATTCATTATCTTTATATAATATAATAAATATCAAATGATAAAGCATTTGTTTATAGTACCTATCTTCAAATGTCTTGCCGCGCATAATAACCGTGAGCAAACATAATACTGGGCTGTCTTTTCATGCGGACGCATTATTTATGGTTTATCGTATATTTTCATTTTAAATTAAAATCAAACTAATTACTGCGAGGAAATCGCACAATGAATAGGATTTTTCTATTCATAGCATAATCATAGTACACAAGAGTTTTACCTATCTACAAGATGTGCGTCACTAATGATATACTACTCTGTATATACTCTATAAATTCAAGAAAATTGATTTAAAAATCGATAATCAGATTAATTACTAATTACCTTTCTCCTCCTCTTTCTAAAAAAATTCTCATTGCCGAAAACTTGCCAGAATTTGAAACTGAATTTCCCAATTATCTGGGCAGAATATCTCTATCAATTCGATCACTGATGCAAGTAGTGATATTTATAACCGAAATAACCGACTATGAAAAGACTCAACTTGTAAAAAGAATTATTTTTTAATTAATAGGAAAAATAAACAGTTAATAAATATAAGCCAAGAATATTAACTATTTTCCCACAGGATTTTGAACAAATAAAATTTTTGCTATTGTATTTAATGATTCAATGAATATAAGATTTTATATATATATATAATTTACGATGCATCTTTTAGACAGAAATTGACTCGTTTTTTGTCCGTTATTCTTTACACAATAAAAAATTTATATTTAATTTAACATAAACATATATTGACATGGTGACGTTAATGTGTTAATATTTCAATACGAAATAAATGCAAGTTTTATAACACAAAATTAAGTTACATTTACCGTGTAAAATTAATAAATTATATGAGTTTAGTATTTTTTAAGAAGTTTTAATAATAGTTTTAATAATTTTATATCTTGAATTAGTTAGATATAAAACTATCAAAACAATTCTGTTTATACTACCAAAGTATGTTAAAACATATAAATGAATTGAATGTAATAACATAAAAATTTAATCGATATATTTTTTAATTCATTTTTTGCAATATATTAGCAAATCTATCATTATGTACGAATAATCTTGATTATTATAGAAAAAAAGAAGAAACGATACAATATTATAGTACGAAGATTTCATGGAAATTTTGGAAAATCATTTTTTTTCCATGTTATTTAATAATTATGTTCATTAATAGTAATCAAGATCGATTTATTATCATCATTATTTATCTTATTACGGACATTATACCTGCGCTTTGGGGCGTTCTGGGTTGAGACGCCGGGTTTGAGGACTGAGATCCTGTCGGGCTCGGTGTTTGTCCACCAGAGCCAGGTGGACTCTTAGCTGGGCCCGTTGGCGATTACGGACATTATACCTGCGCTTTGGGGCGTTCTGGGTTGAGACGCCGGGTTTGAGGACTGAGATCCTGTCGGGCTCGGTGTTTGTCCACCAGAGCCAGGTGGACTCTTAGCTGGGCCCGTTGGCGAAGGACTCTTCTTCAAGTAATGGCTCGTGCTGCCAGGACTCTTAACTGCTGTCGGTTTTCGATGCGGTGGTCTGAACGCCAGGGACTTGTCGGAACTTAGTTTGGTGTGCTCGCGACGTCGTCGACAAAGCCACCAGGTCATCGCGACGGCGCATAATAGGAAAGCAGCACCGATGCATAACGTCACCAGCGTCGCCGTCGAGACTGAAATCGTACATATGCTTTCCGATTCTTCAATTTCGTCGTAATTGCATGTTTCATCATCGAGAAACGCAGCATATAGTGATATCAAGACTGAGACAGCGAGGGCAAATATATATTGGTTTATTACTTCCGAGAAGGGTTATCATTCACGTCATATTTCTTTATTAGATCCTCAATTTTCCGATCAACCCCTTATAATCCGAGGTATACACGAGATGAAGATCGGGTTTGAATTTGGGATTCTTCGATTCGCCTATTCTATCGATTATTCCTATCCAGAATTACGCGTCATTTCTATATTATACTCTAAAAGAGGACTATATCACAAAAATATAAAGAAGTTAAAAGGATAATTAGTATTTTCGTCTATACTTTTTGTAACATGAGACGTAACGCACTGATTATTGCGATACCCTGTGAATTTACGTAGTCAGGCTAGTCAATATCGATAGGGTATGTCAGATTTCTTCTTTAAATTTTCCAAAGCCTTCACGACGTATTGGATCCACTCGGACGACTCGCGAGTGTCACGAGAGAAATACAATACTCGTCAAATTCGAATTTATACATCAAAGAGACGACAACCGCCGTAAGGCGGTTCCTCAAGGAATAGATTTCGCAATTTCGCGCGATCATGATTGAGAGCTAACTCAAAAAGCTAACAGCTGTCGGCGCACTCTATTCCGAACGAATTGACAACGTTCAGGAAGGCGTTTTTATCGCAGTGGATGACCAAAATCGGCCGATTTTGCGACAATTGCGTACGGGAAGCTATCAGCAAATGACGGGTGGTTCCAGAAAAAAATGTCAGATGGGGAAACATTGCGGCAACACGTCGTGACACTCACCGGGCTCGACAGGTCGAATGAGAGGTCCTCCCTCTGTCACTCCGCCGACCATCTTTGGGCACGCTGCTACCCCCTGAATGCTAAAGGGATGCCTTTATCTGCGTTTTAAATTCGTTGGCTACGGCGCACCGAACGATTATTTACGGGCGGCGTGCGGCCCGACGTCCGTGGCACTCTACCGTCCGATCGTCGGCCGAAACGCGCGTGGATCAATAGCCCTCCTGAAGAGCGGAGCTTGCGCGAAGGGGATGATGTGCCACCGGCATCACCGACGGTGTCACGCGTCACCGGAAAAAATGCGACGGTCTACGAGATGGCAGATGGGGTGGTGGTCCCGGGGATGACTCGCCGATGATTTCTATATCTAACGCACGATATTATGAAATTCGATCGATCTAAAGAAAATCTGCAGATTATCGGTGACAAATTTAATGACACACATCGAAATATGATTTGAATATACAACGCGACAATCTTGAGTTATCTCGAACATTATTAGAAGCCAGAAAAGATTTTTGAAAGATCTTGAAGATCTTGAATATTTTTGAAAGTCTTGAATGATACATCTTTAGTTTACAAATACAAATTTATGTAATACATTTTTATTTTTTTATTACTTAAGTTTATCTTTTATTTTAAATTACGATTTTACTTCGATAAACGGTAATTTTTAAAATGTTAAAAAATTTTGCTTTGAACGACATTCTGTTTCGATTTTGAATCGTAACGTCTTAAATCTTATGTTAAAGCTATGAATGTAATCTTATATTATCAATTTATATATAGTTTAATATTGGTACTAATAAATAAAATTAATAAATAATGAATATTTTATAAATCTATCGTGAAAAATATTACTTAAATGGGCTTAAAAGTTGAAATCTAAACTTTGTTATTTCTTAAAACATATTTTATTAAATCATAAAAAATAAAAATAAAATATCACAAATAAAATTTTGTTCGATAATTGAAAATAATTATTCTATGTTATTGATTTTTATAATTTTAATACTTTTAATATTTGAAGTGACTTACTATATACAAATATCTTTAAAGATTATAATTAAATTTTAATATTATAATGAAGAATACATTTAAAATTAATAATGATAAGTTTCCATATGGCTTGAATATAAAAACATTTAATCATTAGAATATTTATCTTATTTATTTATATTTAAAATAGAAATAAATTCTTTTTTATAATAAACAGCAGTAAAGTGATATCTTATGTTTCACACGATATAAATCGCAATGTGTAAGGCAACACTAACTCGGTAGTTTCAAATTGCATTAAATCGATATGAGAAAAGGGTCTACTGCCGTGTACGTATCTCGAGTAAAAACCGCAGAAATGTTAGATGAGAGTTGAACTAGCACGCTTACTCGCCACATGTTAAAGTATTGTTTTGAATTATCGATCAACGAACACTAAAGTAGGAATTAAAGCAGAAGAGATAGGAAAGGAAATTTGTCTATGTTTCACTTGCAATGAGGACTTTACACTTTGCACGAATACCTGTTTACGATGCATTCTTTATAAACAACCATGAGTGCTTTCCATTTAGTGACACAAGTCGACACAAGTATCGTTCTATCTTTCTTGACTTTCGATAATTAACAAGGACAACATGATACTTGTATCGACTTGTCACTAAATGAAAAGCACCCTATGTAACTTTTGGAAATGACATATACATATATACAAGCATACATACATACATACATATATACATACTCACACACACACACACACACACACACACACACACACACACACACACGCGCGCGCGCGCGCGCGCGCGCGCATAGAAAAATAGAGTAGAAATAAAGAATATAAGTAAAAACAATATATAAATAAAAAATTTTTCTAAATATTTTGCAGTAAGACTTTAAAGTGTTATTTGTGCTGCTATTAATTTTGAGAATTCGAGAATTCGACGTTTTTTAGATAATTTGAGATAATACAGTATATTATGAAATATATATAAATTATATGTTGATGCAACTTAATTTAAAATTGCGGCATATAAATTTTACGATCGATCAAATAGCCAGTCAATAGTCTATTGCATTTAACGGTTGGAACGGTTAGACGTGATGTTTTTACTACGGCACGTTCACATTTTAGATCTATTTTTAAAAACATGTGCTCAATAGCATGTACAGAACATTACGATAAATTTCAATGAGATACAACTACGTTTCAATTACAACCATTTCAAACATTTCATTATTTCTACAGACATTTACAAAAATATGATGATAATCGTGACAAATTGCGAAACCTTGAGCAATTGAGCTAACGAGTTTGAAATTCTATATTAAAATTATATTTATTGTTTCGTTAATAATTGCATAGTTTCTGATATAGATAATTGAAGCAGTTTCTCAACAGACTGCTGATTTTATGCAAGTTATAGTAATATCTCAATGTGAATAAGTTATGTATTATATGAGAATATGTATTGTTACATAACACATACATACACACACACACACACACACACACACACACACACACACACACACACACACACACACACACACATATATATATATATATATATATAAGATTACACAGAGAAAAAAACAATGTATATAGAGAAAAAAAGTTAAATTAACCATTAAAGGACTAGAGATAATTAGAACTACTATCTTAAACTACAGTATCATTGGATAATAGAATATGAAAAAAACTTACGATTACTGTTAGTACCTGATAATTGCTATAATATAATTTCAAATTATTAATAGAATTGTAATTCCAGATTGTAATTTTAATTATAATTATTTATGGTCCTCTTTTTCCATTATTACCATATAGTTAATGTTTTTCTTTCTCTCTCCTTGATGACTTAGACCCCTTAATTTATGCAACCGGATAAATTGTTATTAACATTTCGAATATATACATTCTTGAGATTTATTATTTTTCTCTTTTTAGTATCCTCTAACAATTTGCCTCTGCAAAGGTATGAAAAAAATAGTCAAGCGTTCCTGCTGTGGTAATAATAAAAATATCTGCTTCTCTTTTAATAGCGTTCGTATAAAATTATACACTATTTTGGTATTACAGAACATTGTTGACAGGAGTTATCAGAAACATTTCTTGAAGCTGGAAAAAACTGAACTACCTTATTGAAATGGTTCCGTCGAGAGATGAAAATCGCAACCTGTCACAAAATAGGAAAATTGAAATAAATGCATTGCCAAACTTTTATCTCCCATCCAAAAATACAGTAGATATAATTGACAATCAACTGATATCATTTGATGTTGTTTGCATAAAATTTGTGAGTATATCTTAAGTCGAGATGCCATAGGCCAGTATTCATAGTCAGTTCTTATTTAGGATCGTCTTAAGATAACATTCCAACCAATAAGATAGCTGTATGAGCTTATTTAAGACGATCTTAAATATAAGAACTGACTATAAATACTGGCCATAGTTAGCTAAAAAATCGAAACGCGCATTGGCATTAAAAACGTAAAGTTTTAAGACGCAAATGTTGCTTATGTAAATGGAAATTAATACTTTTTCCGACCCTTGCATTTGTATATTGTGTAAACTGCAATTCTTTCGTTTAATCCAATCAAACCATCTTACAAAACAAATGCCTGTCAAACCTAACTTATCTTATTAACACTTTGTCTTATTATGTTATAGAAACACTTTATAATTAAAATAGGGGGAAGAACTTCCAAAAAATACATAGGTAGTGTTTTAAATTTAATCTTTTATTTCATTAATGAATAATGTATTATAATTTTACAAAGAAATACGATCTTTATTGTGCGCTTTAAATAATTTTTTTTTATTAAAAAATTTTCTTCTTTTAAATCTCATATTTTTTACTGATTATGTTTTCATTTATCATATTTTTTTATTACAGTTTTCGAGAAATTTAGAATAAAGATCAGAATTTTTTATTTTTATTATTTTTCTACAAACAAAAAAATTAATTTAATAATTTAAATATTATTAAATTGATATTATTGATTTAATTATTGAACTAATATTATTTAATCATTGGACTAATATTATTTTTAACAATAAAATAATCATATTTACACTCCTATTAAAAATAATCAAAATTGAACTTTTAATTCTAATTTTTTTATATTATACTGTATTGTATTACGTTGTCCTTTTTCATATTTTTAAATACTTTTATACTCTACAAAGATTCAAATAAATAATAGGATTTAAATATCAATTTGCCAATGTATTCGTTATTAGATGATTTTTAAAAATTTATTATAATATATTTAAGAGTATGTTAACAATTTTAATTTTATATATATAAATTATTTAAAAAATTTTAATGTTTTGAATGTTAAAAGATAGAAACTAAAATTAAATATAATACAAAATATTAAATAAATTAAATAATGGAATTTAAATTTTCAGAAGAAGAAAATAAACTTTACATTCCTGATCTCAGAGTCATGTAAGGATCTCTGCGCATTTTAATGTAAAAACTAATGTAATTGTTTGACGTCGGCTATGTCACCTGCCTATGTCAGAGCGAATGCATGCGAGACGGTAGCATAGAACCCTTCTCTATTCCACCTATTTCGAAACAGCTGTTCTCTTATGACTGAATTCCCCCTTCTCGCGCTACTTCTACTATAGTAATTGTACGTGATCACGTGATCGTGTGTAGAAAACGAATGAAGAACAAAGTGCGCAATATGTTTTCATTCTGCGCATGTACGCTATTGGTGCAAGTATCAAGATCGAAGGGAAATTTTAGGATAGAGAAGTTTCTATAGTATCTGTTACGTCATTGATGTGTTGTCCGGTTTCGTGAGCGGTTCGGCACCAGCTTGGTACAGTGTAAGCAAAGAAAAACGGAGATGAAGTTATGATATTAAATGTTGGCTGTTGGAAGATAAAAACGAATGGAATAATCAGAATTTATCGGAAAGATCGGAAAAGATAAAACGGTCAATATGGGTCTCAAAGACTTCCGGATAGTGTTTGATAATCAATGGAGCACGTATTATCCTGGGCAAACGGTGACGGGTAACATCATCCTTGTTCTGGATAGTGTGAAGAAAATTCGCGGTGAGTTTAATTATTAAAAACAATCGCTTACATATACATACATGGGAAATATAGCGAAAAAAAGAAATATTATACTCCCAGAAAACATACATTGTGATATTTCAAAGATATCTAAAAAACATCTTATAATTTCGTGAACTTTATTAAAACATTACATGGAACTATTAAAAAAATTGTTGCTATGACATCTTATTTCTTAATTTATTAAATCTTTACACATTGTTTCAAGGTAAGTTATTTGAGATTATTTGCAGACATTTTATGACAAAAAATAGGGAAATTAATAAAAAGAACGTTAATAAAAAGAAAAATATGAAAAAGATTAAAAATTGCTTCATAAATAGCGTATCAATGATATAATATTATATAACTTTGTAATGACATCTCAGTGACATTTCTCTCTCTCTCTCTCTCTCACACACACACACACACACACACACATACACATATTTTTTAAAAATGTTTTATAAAAGATATTGTCTTTTTAGAAAGTCTTTTTAGAAAGTTTTTAAAACATTTTTGTTGTGTCCTTAAAATATTTTATTGCGTTTTTAAAATCTTAAGTCTAAAAAGATATTTAATAAATAATAAAGATAATCAAAATCTTTTAAACACGCGTGTTATAACTCTTAATAACAATTAAAAATACATTCTTTATATTTTATTTTTATTTCTATTTTTATTTCTACATAATTTACTTGTACAAATTTCTTTTAATTCAAGTTATTTTTTATTCTCACATTTTCTTAAAAAGTTTAGGATTAGAATTAGAAAGACAGAGAGAGAAGAGGGGGGGGAAGAGGGAGAGAATTTGTTAATGTCTTAAAAAATCAAAGAATTATCAGGAAACTTTATTGAAAATCAGAAAAATTTTTTATTAAATTTAGTAACTTATGATAACATAAACGATTTATGAATCAATAATTTAAACAAAAATTACTAAAAAATATCTAAATTATAAACTATAAAATAACGTAACAAAAATTATAAAAAATATACAATTTACTTAAAATAATAACAAGTTACTTCAAGTAATTCATATTATTATAATGTACAGTGTAAGTTATAAATTGCACTTGCTTTTCTCTTAAATTACAAAAACTTAAAGAATAATTGGGAATATACTATATGTAACTATATATAAAACGAAATGCATTCTATGTTTACCACATTTCGCAAGCGATCTTTTTCTATTCTTACAACATGTGAGAGTTAATTATAGAAGAGCCACATGTACTTCCCTATGCAAAGTCTTGCTACTGTTCATTGGACATTTTATCTTCTTCTAGACAGTTTTGTGTCGCTATAAATATAAAGAAAAACAAATACAAAGAATAATATTAAATAAATTTTGAGAATGGGAATATTATGTTACTTCATTTATTTTAATGAATACAGATCTTACACGCTAAATTGGATCATTTAACAAGTCCAGCAAGTTAATAAGATAATTTAATATAAAAATTTTTATATAAATTGATGCAAAATACAAAATGCAAAATAGATAAATAAAACTCAAATTAATTAAAAATAAAAATTCTCAAAGATGATTTTAAGATATTTTTATAACATTACAATGTCTTTGAGACATCTCTAAAATATCATAATGTTCTTTGAATAAAATTAATTGAATACTTTGCTCTGATCTTTTTAAATTATATTAATAATGTTTAATCTTTTTTATGTAGGTATAAGTGTGAAAATAAAAGGTGAAGCAAATACTAATTGGTCAACGGTTAAACAAGAAATGGATGAAAAAGGACAATATACAGATGAGACTCACACTGTTACAGCACATGAAAGTTATTTCGAAACAAAATATTATTTGGTTGGATCAGCCTCGGGTAAGATTGAGTTATTTATTGATGATATTATAATAAAATAATAAATATTTCGATAAAATTTATTAAAAGATAATTCCAAAAATTTATATTATTTGATCAATAGGAAGTAAAAGAATTAATTATGCTTAATTAGGATAGACACCTTCTTAATTTAAATGAACAAATATTTTAACAAACAAAAGAATTTGTTAAAATTAAAAAATTACATTTATTATATTTACTTTAAATAAAAAGTACTTTTGAAATCTTGATTCGTTATGTAAAAAAATTTACATTTGAATATCTTAAATATTTATAACAATATATATCTTATCAAAGATAAATCAATTCTTCAATGGAAGAAATGGAATTCAATGGAATTATATATATTTTTTATATAAAACTTAATTATGAGATAACTATACAGATATGTTTTATAATTTTCTTTTTTATTAAATGTTTGTTTTCTTATCTCTTATTTTTTTATAAGGTGGAGAAATAGAGATACAATCGGGAGAACATAAATTTCCATTCAATTCTTCTTTACCAATGAATTTACCGAGTAGTTTTGAATCGGATTTTGGACATGTTCGTTATACTGTCAAGGCTACATTAGATCGACCTTGGAAATTTGATCAAGATGTTAAGAGTCCTTTTACAGTTATCGCCCCTTTGGATTTAAATCAGGAACCAAGAGCAGCTGTATGTACTCAAATAAATTTAATTAAAAATTTAATGCAAGAATTTAGATTATTTAAAATCATATATAAATTCTTTAACAGAAGCTTTGATATTACGAAATTATCATAAATTTTACATAAAATTAACTTTTAATATTATATGATTTGTATTATGTTAATTATTAAAAAATTTATCCTGAATTGAAGAATTTATGAAAAAATTATTTTAGTCGTGTCATTAATAAGGTCGTGTCATTATAATATATTTTATTTTATTACACCATTTTATCATTTTATCATCTTTTAAGTGTTACTTGTTCACTAAAACTAAAATTATTCGTAATATAGCAATGAATTATAGCATTATATTTTCAGGAACCTGTGCGGCAAGAAATGAGTAAGACATTTTGTTGCTTATGTTGTGGCTCACCACCCTTGACCGTAAACTTTTCGCTACCAGTTCGCGGATACGTGCCCGGCCAATTGATGCCAATCATGATAAATGTAGAGAATTTATCGAATGTCGTTGTAAACACCGTCAAACTAGTACTCTGTAAGGTAATAGCAATTCTACTATATTAAATTTTGGTACATTGAAATCATTTAGAAGATAATACTTTCGAATATTTTAAGACTGCATAGTATGTGGAATTTTTTGTTGATAAATAATAACGTATCATGAAGTCTAGGTTGTGACTTTCCACGCTACCACACCACACACAGATACTAAAACAGAGGAAATCGTGGTGAAAGAGATCAGTAAAGGACCAGTCGAGGCTGGTGAAACTGTTAATTATGAGCAACATTTAGACATTCCGCCTCTTCCACCATCAAATCTCACTAATTGTCACATCATCGATCTCGAATATAATTTGAAAGTGGAAGCCTGCGTTGAAGGATGGTTAATACTTTTTTACAAATAATTTTATTTTATTTAATTTATTTTATTTAATTATTATTAATTATATATTGTATAATTTATTTACTTTCAATAATCTCCTCTAGATAAGCTTTAATTTGCAATATATTATAGGTATCATCGAAACCTATCTGTCAATATGCTTATCTTCGTGGGAACGATTCCACTCACAATTTATCATGTTCCAAGTGCTCCACCAGTAGGAATGGATGGCGAATCAATGAAACCACAAGTTGGTTTTGTCATACCTTCAGCAAACACTGCATTGCCTCCATTGCCGGAATCTCATTTATATCCAAACTTACGTAAGATTGGCATGACAATTAGTATTTTGTTTTTCTATGTAAAAGACAAAATCATATTACAATAGGATAACAATAAAGTTTTACTTACAAAACATTCTTTTATTATGAAGAAAATTATAGTAGCACTGTACAAACTGCATATAAAATGATTTCTTTGTAAAAATAATTGTTTTCAATTTCTTTTTCAGCTCCGCCGTCGTTTGAGGAATCGTCATATGGCGCCAGAAATCTTCATGAGCGCGGAGAATCAGAACATGTTTATGGTTTGACTAATCATTTTGCACCAAGATATCCTGTATATAATTTTGCATCTACACAGCAATAAAAGAACGGGGGAATTGCTGTGTTGAGATTAGTTTTTCAAAATTATAGGCACGCATACTTTGCTTTTTTGGTGATATAAATTTTTAATACATATAATATTGCAAAGTATTCGTACTAATTTTAAAAAAATACTCTTAGCAAACGCATAAATTAAAAAATATATAACTTTTAATCACATATGCAAAACGAACCAATGAAAGTGTTTTTCGCATTTATATTTTTTTACATGAATTTCTAATAGTCAAAGAATATCACGCGCGCATATGTATAAACGCGTACATCGGTATTGTATAGAATATATTTATATATATTATATAATAAAAATTATATATATATATATATATATATATATATATATATATATATATAGACGTATACAAATACATCATAAAACAACAATTTGAGATTTGTGCTTATTAATAATCTCGGAAACGCACATTTTTCAGAATAATCCTATTTATGAATATACTCCTAATGAAGTAATGTCAAATAATGTTTCAATGTTTTATTAATTAGACACGTTATTAAGATATTATTTAACAACAATAATACTTTGTTCATTGTGTGGGATATATATTATGTCTTTACATGCAATGTATTACATGAAAGATTGAATACATATATTGGATATATTGGATATATTGGATGTATTATATGTTTTGTATGCAGGGTTGGGTAAGTTATTATTATTTTTTAATTAAATGAAGTTACAATTGATTTATAAAACTAATTTAGTTATGTTAAAAGTTACAAGAACAAAAAACTAATTCAGTTAAAAGTTGCATTAAAATTCAATAAAAACATAAATTAAAGGTTAATTTTAAAAAGCATTGTTTATATTGAATTAGAATGTCGTAATTTTTTAAAATTAAAATATTCTAAATAATAAAACAATTACAATATGAATTATTAAATAAATTTAAAATTTAAATAAATTTAAATAAATTTAAAATATTAAATAAATTTAATATTTTATTTGTAAATTAAGTTTATATAAAATTTTTGACTTAGGAAAAAGTTAATAAATTAAAGTTTACATATTTTAAAAATAATTAGTTGAAATGATAATTTAAATCATTTTCATTAATTAAAATTAACTAAGTTATGTTAAAAGTTATTAACTTTTAACTTTATTAATTAACGTTTAACTTTTTAACTACCCAACTCTGATTGTATGCAATAATATGTAAAAGAGAAATATACTTTTAATACGTTAACACATAAGGAGCAATATTTCAGCAATAATTTCTTTTTAATATAAAATTATTTATTTTAATAAAAATGATATTGATAAAGTGTACTTAAACTAATAATATAATCGAAAAAGAAATAATTTTTCATAAAGAAGTAATTCGTATTTATAAATACATTTTTTTGAGAAAATATGATTTAGAAAATAAAAAAAATAATAATATACATCTTTTTTATTAATTTCTAAATATAAGCGGCTTTGTATTGTACATATTAAATTGCCAAATATTAATAATATATTAATAAAAAATCTAAGAGATGCAACGTTTTATTTTTTTAACAAAGTAATTTAAAATAATTTAAGCAAGTTATCTGCGTAATCAAAATTATTAATTATGCAATAGAAAGTAGTTGCATATTTATATACACCCAGACAACAAAATGCAGAGACTTTGATGTATGTCTAGCTGCCCCTCCTCTCCCACATTAAGAAAATTAAATGAAGAAATTATATAATTATGCGCTATTCATACGCTCTTAAAAACTATCAACGAAAAATTTTGCATTCCTTCCATTTAATCAGAAAAAATTATTTTTGAGAAATTGGATAGACAGTTAGTGAATCCTCCCATGCGTTAATAATAAAAATTATTCCGCAAAATGCGCAGGAATTATGCGCTCTTATTCAGATAATTTCGATTTTTGCATCCCTCAAGGGACTTCCCTCTTGAGACGAAGAGTTACATATTGATGATTAAGCGACGGATAGCTTGGCCAAACTAGATTTATTAACGATTAAGCATTTCGCTTTGTTGTTCCCGCTTGAAAAGTGGCACTATTTCTCGCATTCTCACTTGTGATCGCTCAAATGTCTTCAATGATTTTGTTGATCGTTTCAAGTGGATGGAGAACGAAAGGATCACGAGATGCCTAATATCGAATCGAATAAATAGATCTTTTGAAGTCCGAATTATTTCTATGTATCCGCGTCTCTGACATCGATTGAGATTGTCAGCAATAGATAGTTTACAAGATATTTGAAATTTTATGTGAGAATATATCAGAATACAGTATAAAATATTAATTATTGATAACTGACTTGATTTTTGATAACTTGATAATTTTATATATTCAAATTTATATCGAAATAAATTATATTTACGTAACAAAAAATATGATTTAAAAAAATGGCGATTGTAAAGAAATATCGAATAATTCTATTTACGAATAAATCAATATTATAATCGTGAAGTTCTCTTTAAAAAATTTTTTATTTAATATATTTTTTCCAAAACTCCGCAATTTCCAGATATTTAAGAATTAACAATAAAATGAGATACTTTGTGTACATGTTTATGTATCTCAATCTAAGCAAAGATTATATGTTTAACTTTTTTTAAAATATTTAAGCTAATTCTCTTTGAAGAGAATTATTTTCTACAGGTCAAAATATATAGGAAATTATTTTCTTTCATTAGTAAAAAAAAAGATTTTAATATATTAATAAATATATTAATAATATATTAATAAAAAAAGGCACACGCAACTTTTCTTTCAAACTTGAATCTCGTTTTTTTCTTTGTTAGTAAGAAATGTATCAGGAATATCCACATGACAATGTCTAATCTATGATTTAGCGTTTTCATCGGACACTCTTGTAGCTTTGGAAGCTTTGACGTGAAATATTTGTGAAACATGATCTGATTTTTGATGCTCAACCAGTGAGATGGTCGCACGACAAATTCCGGAGAATCGCTGATGTCCGCAGCCAATTCATACATCACGATCGAAGGAAATCATCGCGCACATGCCGCGCGATGTTATTACAATGTAACGATCTTTTTACAGTCGCAACGTTATTCCCAATGAGCATGTGCATACTTAATGATTTTTTTACATTTTTTTATGATCTTACTGATGTTTTGCACGATGAACAGATTGATTGTGCTCGCAATAACGTGAACAGTACAATATCGCGTTATTGGCGATGATATTTAGATAAACAGATTACAGCTAATAGCGATATATGTTGGCTACTACATATTGGTTTTGCAAGAAAGTATACTTATGCTGTCAATTACGTAAGCAGTAAGTATTGACGAAGTATTGATAATAAGTATTGACGAAGACCTTTCTGTGACAAGTTGTAGCTCGTAACTTCTATTTGTGAACTATTTACTGCAATTTCGACTCTATGGTACAAGAAACGAAAATCTCGAGAAATAAAAAATTATAAAATTTTTTATCATGTCAAATAAAAAAGTTTTACTTTCAAAGTACCTAAAAATTTTTTAAAAATACGAATTTAAGATAGTGCAAATTTTAAAAAACAGTTTTCTAGTAAATATTTGTATCTTCATTTTTTGAAAATGTAGATTGATAAGATAGTTTGAAAAGTTTTAAATGTATTTAGTATATAATATTTATAATATATAATTGTAAATATATAATTCTATCTAACATAATGCGTATTTTTAAAAATATAGATTGTCGACATTGTTTCGGAATAAATCAAATTGAGTTAATTAACTACTTGATTTATACTTATACTTATTGCATGACATATTAAATACATTGATAAAAATGCTTTTAGAAATGTCGAAGAAATATTTTTACAGCAATATTCTATTTGGCAACTATATAGAATAGAGTATATTCAATAGGGTAATACGATGTTATATCATCATCCATCATTATTCAATTTTATTGTGTATCTAATCTCGCACACTTTTGATATCTTCACATGAAAATTATGATAGATTTACGGGTGTAAAAAATTTTTTATTTAAAGATTATATATTGTTAATAAATAAACAAAGAATATAATTTCGAACATTATCAAAAAATCTTTCTAGCGTATTGTTGTTATTTTAAAGCAACATCAAAATATCTTTATGTATTGAAATGCTTTCTGTTAAATTTAATAAAAAATAATAAAATAATAATTAGTAGAAATTAATATCACATAAAGTAAAAATAATAATTTGAATGTTTTTCAATTAAATTTTGTTCAAAAAATTAGTACAATATCGGTATCTCACGTTGTTTACGGCAAAATATATTTAAACAATCAAACTCAAAATATCAATTTTCTAATTCTCTTTTTAAATAAAATGTTGTAATATAATTATAATAAAATTATAATTAATATTTAGAAAGAATTTTTTGGAAAAAGAGTGTCGACCAAAATATAGCTAAATGAAAGAAAAAGTAAAACAAAATTATTTTAAAGAATAAGAAAAATAGAAAGTATTATTCGGTAGATAGGATCTCAGGCATCTAATAATTTTTGAAAAACCATTTTAATATGTTGATTAAATAATAAAAAAAAGCAGACAGATGGATATTTTTGCCTTCTAATTTTATTTCTGCATTTTCGGAAACACTAAAGTATAAATTAACAACAATACGAGATGCTATATATAATAATAAATTAAACATAATCATCGTAATAATGGAAACGTAAAATTTATATTTGATCTGTTGTGAAGTGTGTTATTTTTTGCTGAATCATTTGGAATTTGAGTGCCTTATGGAAGTCGCGTAAAACGAGTGCGCGCGTCTTTTTCACATCTCCAATCAAGGTTACAATATAAGGCAAACTTTAGTTCCGAACTTGCGAGGTCATAGCCTACTGTCTTCGTTTCGACCTCGTCGCAACGATCGATAATTTAAACCATATCGATAAGCGGAAATGATGCGCGCGCGCTTGAATGGTAGAGTGACGTCACATATTCCTGGCTTGCGGTGTCCTCGTAATAAAGCGACAAGCACGATCTATAATCGGCGCATTCCGGCCAGTTTTCTAATGGAGACTCGCTGGGAAGAGGCGTTTAGTTACGACTCCCCCCATAACGGTTAGCATTCTGGATGATCCTGCATAGAACTACTGAAAAGTTGGCAGGACTGTTCCTTGCACTTAGATTTAACTACGCAAGGGTATCTTCCTCAGGGATTGAAAGTGCTGTATATATTTCTGGTGATATACGTGACTTTGTCGCTATTATTTTCCCTCAAAGAGATGGATCAAACATACATTCACCGTCATTTGCAAACGTGATTCAAAAAAAAGGTGCGGAAAAGAGAAAAAGAAGATTGCATTGATGAATCGTTGAGCCTCTTTAATCTTGAAAATCGGTTCTCCAAAGATATAATTACATACGTTTTTACATTATATATTATACATTTACTTTCTTTTCAACATATTTCTACAGCAACAATTTTATTACAGTTTAGTAAACAAAGGTTCTATGACATTATAATATTATATTTTTATAAAGTGTGAATTTCGTATTTATTGTCATTTGCAAATTTGTATTTCAATTATGCCGGGCGGAAAGGAACAGAAAGTAGATTGTTTATAATAATTTTTTCCAAAAATCAATTCTGTGGAGATAATTATATTTAATATCGTAAATTTTTTTTGCTCGTAATATAAAATTTTACACGCAATTTTATTTATTCACTCACGTATAATTTCAAGTATTATTTAACTCATCAAAAGTTTTGTAAATCTGTTACCGACCGCGATTTCATTTTCGTTAAAGTCCGTTCAATTTCGTCGCTCTTCATTTTATTCTCTTGTCCTGGATTATAATTATTAAATTTGGTTGTGCAAATCGTAATTAACTCGAAAGTGGGACATTCAACGATGAGTTAACGCTGGCTATATCAGGGTCAGTAGTCGAACCCTGGTTTGCGCCGCCCTTGCCGCGGATTGCGTGCCGGCACGTGCGCGGTGCGCCAGAGCGCGCGTGCTACTCTCCTGTCAGATTCGCTCGTCCGTCGCGCCGCAGGCCGCAGGACGAGTTTCCTCTGGCCGCGGAAAAACCGCGGAGTCAACGCCACGTCGGGGTGCACCTGAGCGGCCGGAAACGTCAGTGACATTTAATGTCAGCACTCTCGGGACTCGTTCTCGGCGCGCTGTGAACGAACATTTCGGACCATTTCGTTTGTCTCTCTCTGTAGGAGGCATACGATGCGCGCATAATGCGCGTGTGAAGAAAAATACGAGAGCGGAGTGCCGCCGTGGCGAGGGAATCGTGCGATAAGCGCGAGAGGCACGTGTTGTTTGCATGCGCGTAACATACGTTATCGCGGTGCCGTTATCGCGGGACGAGTGAGCGTCGGGAGCAGCAGGAAGTGTCGCCGTCACGGAGCGGGCGATTCGGCGACTCGCGACTCGCGACTCGCGACTCGCGACGTCGCGGACCCTCACGCGACGCACGCTCGCTCATTCGCTCGCGAGAACGTGACTCAGGCGAATCGATGACGCGCCGCGAGTCGGAGTCGCGAGCGTCCAGCAGCTAGCACGCGGATGGTATCGTCTGCCCGGAGCAACGACGGCGTCTCACCGGGAGGATCATCATCGATTCAGCCTCGGCAGCGGGGACGAGTTCTTGGACGAGTACCGCGCGAGCCGAAATCACTTTGGATCACTTTCTTCTTGCAACAGGTACTTGCGACTCGAGATGCAAACCGCGATCGTGGTAACGATTGTCTGCCCACATTGTCACATTTCTATCGGATAATTAGACCGTTAGTCGTCTATCGTCGTTCGACTTACCGTTTGATGAACAGTCATCAACAGTCATTTGCCGGATACTGGATACATTCAGTTTCGATGTTCCCAGCAACAAAAGTATTTTCAAATACTTTGGCTTTTTAATCGCTTTAAAGTCGTGCTTCACGTGAACTTAATGTAAATGTTGCGATAATAATGATATTAAATCGCATGACGATCGAGCGGAAAATTGTGAAATTGTAGTATTTTCAAATGTGTTTAACATGTCTGTTCAATGTCTTTTCAACAAGGTTATAAAAGCGAAAGCTTCATTTAAGTAATTATTAAAATTATTTTTCATGAAATCTCGCCATTAGCACGCAAATAAAATTACTCTTTAAAACGTTGAATACTTTTAACCACCATGTGAGAGACATGTCACAGTTCTCTTAAGTCCGTTGATTTTTTTACTCTCGCCTACTTTTGAGAAGAGATATATTGCGAGCAGGCAGTCGATTGAAGCCACGCGACATGGTGCATGTGCATGTCAAAGCGTGAAGATTGCATGACTTAGATAACTAGATAAACATTCGAGCCTTATCGGTCGCGCGTCCTAATCTATAATATATATATATATATATATACTGGTTTGGATTACAAGATTGCCTCGAAACAGCATGACGAAACGTTTTTCCTCGTGACTCACGTCACGCTATGTACATCAAGTGAATTGTTCGTAAAAAAGAAAAAAAATGTGATATGAAGAACGTCTTTTGTTACCCTGGTGTCAGAAAGAATAATTAATGTTGATTAAGCGAGACGAAACAGTTTTTTCGGTTACAACATATAGTAATTCTTTATGTGTATGTTGCGTATCCTATGTATGTGTGCAAATGCGTATGCATGCGTGAGCATATGAGCGCGATTAATGTTCTACGATATTACTTATTTTTAATTATTATTATTATTACTCACTGATTATTTTTATATTAAGATATTGAGTATTGATTATAAATTAATGATGTCTATTAATTGTTGTCAATTTTCTATATTACGTTGTAAACAGAATAATTATTACTTTAATAAATTAATATTGACCGATATGTGTATATACTAGAAATGTAAATGAACAGTGATATTTTTGGAATGCGATTAACTTTTATTAACATTAGTAATTTTATTAATATCGGTAAGGTAGATAATTATTAATAATGTTAATTTAAATAGATAATTAATTAAATAATGTAATAATACATTTTCAGCTTTAGCATAAAAAACGTGTCTCAAGATCGAATAATAATACAGAACTGTAAAGGGAGATGTTAAGTTTTGGACCAAAGCCATATTTGAACCAAATATATAATCAGTTAATCATTGGAACATGCTTGTCTAGAAGTAGAAATTAACAATTATTTATCCTCCAGAGCTGAAGAAAGTTATGAAAATTGGGATTTTTTATTATTATTATTATTATTATCTAAAAACTTGAAATAGTCATATAAGTGTTTTAAACTTAAAGCATTGTATTCTTTAAAATAAAATTAATTGCATATTTATGTGTTGAAAAATGAGTGGAGAATACGCTTTTTTAGTGCACATAATATGCAAGATGTTTTTAAAACTCCATACAGTTTCTGCTGCTCTCTCTCTCTCTC